CTGGAGACAATGGTTAGCAAGCCCAGTGCTGGCATCTCTCTTTCACGCATTGGAATAGACATGCATCAAAGTTAAGACGCTTTTTTTAAATAAAACCTACCCAGCTCAAGGAGGAATAGAAATGTAAGTATCTGGGAATCGATTCTTTGCTTCATTGAACCACAGTGACCACTTTCTCAATTAAAGTCTTCTACTGACGCTTTGTGTGCCGAACCCGAGCAGGGTTTTACTCACAACTGATCGGTGTTGCTTTGTACAGTAGCACTGTGTGCCTTTGTTAGGTGTCAAGCAGCTGTTAATCTGGACTGTGGGCCAAACAGCTGGTAGGCACTTGTCAAGGGGAAGAAAATCCAGATGTTACTGCGAATTGTAGCCCCAGTACCATTGAATGTCACAGCATGGAAACAGACCGTAGAAACACAGAAACAGGAGTAGGCTATTCAGACTCTCGAACCTGTTCCGCCATTCTATAAGATCATGGTTGATCTGTACCTCAAGTGCAGTTACCTGCCCTTGCTCCATATCCCTTAATAGCCTGACCTATATCTATCTACCTCCGTCTTGAAAATGTGAATGGATCCAGCAACCACAGGCTTTTGGGGGAGAGAGTTCCAGATTTCCACTACCCTTTGGGTGAAAAACTGCCTCCTGATTTCACTCCTAAATGGCCTCGCTCTAATTTTAAGATTAGGCCTTTCGCCCCGATACCTAGACAATCCCACACAACGCTAGTAAAAATCAACACGTCATACTGCGCAGTACTTCAGTATCTGTACAACAAGCAAAACCACAGAACAGAACCATACTCAGACCAAGACGAGAGAAAACTGGTGAACAAGAAGGAAAAGTGGCATTTCCAGCCAAATAAAAATACCCGCCCAATTAACAGCAAAAATAACTTGCATTTGTATATAGCACCTTTCACGTCCCAAAGCGCTGAAATAAGAAAAAATGAACAGCCATCACCGACGTTTAAGAAAACAGTCCTTCCTGTTACTGACTCCTCGCTCACCAGCTCTGGTCTGAAATCATAAACTGTTTCATTAATGGGGGACTTAGAGACCAGGAATATTCCATGAAAACATGATGGTGATTTTATTTTTTTGCTCTCTAACCAGTGAATAACACGTCAGCAGGCATCCAATGTTACAGTGTCGCCACAAGCTGTGCTCAAGCTGTTGTACTTCAAATGACTAACTCGCCTGGTTGACAACGAGCCGATTGTTTGTTTTATTCTGCAAACGGCAGCGGTCTTAAAATCGGGGAATTTCAGGGCAGACACCGACCGGGAAGTATTTCTTTACCCAGAGGGTTAAAGAGCAACGTTTAGGTGTTTGATTGGAACCACTCGACCTCTCAGACACCACTAGCAGACCAAAAAAAAATATACTGATGGGATGAAATCGAATAGGCCGAAGGGTCGAATAGACTGAAGAGTGGGAGCTTGTCTGGTTAGGAACTCTTCAGTCTCCTATTATTCTGTGACTGTCAGGGTTCAGTTGTGCATCAGTCAGCTGCTGCCACAGGGTGAGTTGCAAATCAGGCCTTTCAAAACCACTTTGCACATTTGTATTGCTGGGAAAACAATTTTAATGTAGATGGAAATCGGAGGCTAATGACCCAAACCCGATGAGGCCCCTTTTCATCAAGGGAAGAAAATGCTGCACTTAGGAAACTAAGACTACTGCTGTTTCCCACTTGTTGGTGAGCACGAAGATAAATGTGTGACAGCCGGTAGCAGATCTAAAAGGGAGTTTTAAGAGGAACTCCTTTATGCAGATGGTGGTGAGAATGCGGAACTCAATGACGCAAGCTACGATTGCAGCAAAAAGCTTCAATGTATTGAAGAAGTTGATCCGTACATAAAGGAGAAGGAACTAAAGGGGTGAAGACTCTTGTGGAGTTTAAATACCATTTGGGTCCAATATCTTGTTTCCTTCAAATGTAATTTTGAGTATACTTCTATGGTTCTATTGGTGGTGGTAATTTGCAATACAGATGATGGAATAGCATATGTGTTTGTCTGTCAGATTACTGCTCAGTGCATAAACCAACTCAGAATTTAAAGTTAATCATCCTTCCATTTGGTATCGCGCTTTTCACGTCAGGAGTACGGGCACCTTTTTCCTAAAGGATTAAAAAAAAATTGCAAGCTGGGGTGGGTGGTGGGGGTTGATGTCACTGAAGGTAACAGATTAAGCCTCAGAGTTTTCCCCATTCCTGACATTATTGTAATTATTGGATGTGTATTTTCCAGGGCGAATTTTAGACGTGGACTATTATTGGGTAAAGATGGTGAATACAAATCCAGAGACTATCCTCCTTGGTAAGCGGGTCTCGTGGAGCTGGAATGTCGGAATGGACAGGACCTGCAAGGGCAGACCAGTCACTGGGGGAAGGGAATCACCCCACTCAACAACAACAACTTGTATTTATATACAGGGTACACAGGGTATCATCCCAGAGCGCTCTCATTAACCCTGCAAGTCAAAGCTCTAACATGTAGGGTGGTCCTAGCTGGAGAATGCACATTCCGTTCCAACAATCTATCTCTGGGATTTCCATGAGAAAGTTTGCATACTCTTGGTGATGGCATGGTGATGGGTTTCCGCGTGTATCAGAAACCTACCTGGCTGACCAAAAAAATAAATAAAAGTGCATGTTTGCAAGAACTGTTTATGTCAGGCTCCTTTACATACTCGGGAAGCAAAGCAATCTGATTTCCGAACCGAAATACGAATCAAAATATCCTACATTGCCCCTTTACACTGAGATCTACACAGTCACTACACTACACTTCACAGTAAAATGCTTTGAAGTGTTTTGAGGTGTGTCAGCGACCGTAAAATGCAAGGATGATGATGTTGAATATTACTGTGATAACCTGGAATCTACACAACCAAACATTACGAAGAGCACAATTATATTCAAAAATCAATTCAGAGTGTATTTAGAGGTGAATTTACTGCTATCGATCTGCTTCCGAGTTAACACTACGGAAATGTAATCCCAGTACAGGACCACATCCTGAGAGGCGATGTTATTGTGGGTTTTCCTGAACAGCTTAATAAGTAGTTTACACTGGAGACTTGAAAGATTAAGCCCGATTTATGACAGCACAAAGCCTCTAGTGAAAACAGGGCCAGAGAACGAACAACAGGATCTTTCATGCAATTCCAGTGGAAGTACTTTCTCCCGATCTTTTATCAGATGAACATATTTGGGCACTCCAGGGAAATATTCCAGCAATGCGATGAAAGCCTTTAGTGAGATGGTGTGAACGCGACATAAGGTAAGGGATGGCTGCTTGCTTTACTCAAGTTAAATTTAATTGAAATAAAAATGCTGCAATTTATTGCGAGGTGAGTGCTCTAACGACTGAGCTACAGGATTATCAGCGCACATATAATATATTTGAGGTTGCGCGGAAAAGAGGTTTATCTATATCGCAAATAAAAACAGAAGTCACTGGGAACACTCAGCAGGTCAGGCAGTATCTATGGAGAGAGGAAAGTGAGTTCACATTTCAGGTCGAACATCATCAAACACAAGAAGGGAAACAGATAACCATAGAAACAGTGTCTGCCTGGTTCAGTTGGTACCTCGTTTGAGCTCACAGTCTAGGCTGTCGACCTAGTAAAGTGCTGCATTGCAGACTTTAAACCGAGGTCCCATCTGCCTGTTCAGGTGGAGGCTAAAGATCCCATGGCACTATTTGAAAAGGGAGGAAGTTTCTCTCTCCCGGTGTCCTGGCCAACAATCCTCCAGATAAAATTAGCCGTACACTTCATGGATGTTTGTGTGCACAAATTGCCTGTCACATTTGACCGCAACATACGCAGTCACTACACTGTAAAGTAAAATTCCTGCAAAATACTGTGAGACGTCTTGACGGAATGATAAAGGACTATATCGAATGCAAGGATTATTAGGATTTTAAAGAAATTCACGTTACAAGTGCAATATTTTTCTTGCACAAAACTCTTATCAACCAACACAGACACAGCACCAATATGTATTCCAATTGTTTACTGATTTTAAAAAAAATCATTCTATCAATTTGCAGTGAAATGACACAGAATGGTTGGAAATGTGCTCCTTATTAAGCAAATAACCTCTTACATCCATGGACAAGAATGTGAGATGTAAGGGAAACGTGTCCAGCAGACATGCACAGAGCAATTCATCATTTATTAAACATTAAACCTGGTCTGAACATGAGACAGTTCATGTAGTTGATGATTATAGTTCATGCTCCAGGGTCAAGAATAATTTACTGGAACATGAATACCACATTAAGGAACCATTTGTCCAGATGTTCTCCCAGTGGAAAAAAAATGGTCCGCTATAGTGAGCGTTGTCAAATAGAAAAATATAGTTGTCTGATTCATTGGCAGTTAGAATTCGACCAAGTAGCTATCAGAAATAAACAGAACAGCAGTGCAGTAGGAATAGATAGGTCAACCACTGAAATCAATAGAAGATTTTCCTCGTTTTAAATCCAGACTTTCCCAAATCCTTTAAGTAAGTCCGTTGTTAGCTGAAAATCAATGCCAATTTCACTATGGTGTCTAAGTTGGTGTCTTTCAATGCAGTGCATTCCCTGTTCAATGAAACTAGCAAACGGGGGAGGTTAGGAGACTTATTTCTTCACGCACAGAATTGTTAGGATGTGCAATGCTGGGAGCAATGGTTGATACTGATCTTTTTGAAAGCTATTTATAGAGAACTACAGGGGTATGGTGGGGATGGGGAAAAGGCAGGTAAATGAGACTGAAAGGATTACTCTTTAAAAGAGCCACCGGGAACAGAATAGACTGTAACTTTCTATGAGTTTTAGGGTTCTACAGTTGCACAGATTGGGATCTAACAGCACTCCCACTGCTTTTCCAGCAAAGACCCATACCCTTCCTTTTAGGGCTTTGGCTTGTAGAGTTATCAGGAGCCAAGAGGGAAGAACCCCTGGCTCCATAGTACTGTACATGATACGCTTACATATTACCACTGTAGCTTAGAGGTTAGAGCACTCGCCTTCCAAGCGAGAGGACCCGGGTTCGATTCCCGGCAGCGCAAAACGTTTGGCAAGTTTCCTTACTCCACACGCCACTGTTTACCTAGCAGTAAGAAGGAACTTGGTTGGTGGAACAGTTTTCTGCTGGTAGTACTCACTTCAAAATAAAAATTAAAAAATAATAATTTAGTCACTTAATCCACGACTGCTGTACCCAATTGGCTGTCGCGTTTCGCCCACAAAATATATAGGCAATAAACTTCACAGTATATCCTGCAAAGTGCTTTGAGACATCCCAAAGACCTGATAAGGCGCTGTATCAATTGCACGGATTGTTATTATTATTATTACACCCGATCTTGCCGATCTCCATTATTATTACAGGATTAAGGTGGATACATGCAGACCATCAAAACCAACCGTTTGCCTTCTTCCATTGTTCACAGTATTTTTTCTGTCACTGGGCTTAAGAGTATCCAAACCAAGCTGAGATTTCCGTTCATCCCACCTACACGTGGAAATCCCAGAGTTAGATTGTTGGAATGGAATGCTTACTATCTCCCTGGAGGGACACATCCTGCTTACTTAATTCCAGAAAGTATTAGGCCCAGGTTGGCAAAAGCCAAGGCTTGGAGACCGCAGAGTGTGTGTTGGGGTAACTGCTGACGTCTAACCAGCTAAAACCACATAGCTTGCCTTTGATATTGCAAGCTTTCCCATTGCTTGTCCAGCTAGGACCACCCTACCCATTAGGGCTTTGGCTCACAGGGTTAATAGGAGCTGAGTGGGAGGATTCCCTGCTCCCAGTGACTAGTCTGCCCTTCCAGTTCCTGCCGATGTGCCAGGCTGGCTGTGCTGTCATCAGCGGTGCCCTGGAATACTGCAGATCCTCCTGGCTGAGGAACTGGACTACCGAGTCCGCCACAGAGGGCTGCATTAATTCTGACATTCCGTTGCCAGGCATGTCACCTTGGAGCCAGTTCAGCTTCAAGGAGACCTCGCTTATCTCCCCCAAGAAGGATGGACCTTGGTCTTTTCTTGCCCAGCGTTTTCTATGTTGAAAGCGACTTGGATGAGGCTCCATGTGCTATCTCACTGCACAGCAAAGGATCTTTGCTCCCAGCAGCATAAACTCAGCATTGGAAAAATCATTCCAAAGCCATTTCCTCAGATTTCCCTGAGCTTGTCGGGTTGGAGCACTAAATCGACGACAACAACAACTTGCATTTGTACAGCGCCTTTCACGCAGGGGAGCGTCCCGGGGCACTTGACAGTGCCGCAACACTATGCCAAGCTGGGGGGGCGGGGAGATGACCTGAGGCACAGTCGAAAAGGAAGGTCTTCAGGCGCAACCTGAAGATGGGGAAGAAGGGGGCGAGGCGGAGGGATAGAGGAAGACCGTTTCAGAGTTTTCGGGCGTTGTGGCTGAAAGTGGGGCCACTGATGACTGAGCCTCCCGGTTTGCCAACAATGCTTCTCCTGTCGATTTGTTCTTGTATCTGAATGCTAAAATTTCAAAACACAAGCACGATGGAGAACCACATTTGACAAGTGGAACTGTATTGTTGCAAGATGCAATCATTTCTAAACAGCCTTCACACAATGGCATTCCTGCTCAAAATTGGCTACTTTATAATGTGTATTAGGTATCATAGCAACTCCTTTCCATATGGATGTTTTTAAACCCCTCCGAATCCAGGCTGAGTCAAGCTACAGAAATTGCTGTACTTATGCACTTTGTTCCAAGCAAACTTTGGACCGGAGAAAGCAGGAGCAGTTCAAGCAAAAATAAAAAAAAACACAAACATCAGATTTTTGTGGCGTTTGCATTACTTAAACGTTTCTTTCCGAAGGGTTTGAATCTGAGCTTTTTATGTCTTTTAAGCATTTTTCAGTGATGGAGAGTGAAAATCTGGTTCTTTCTTCACGTAGGACAGATCGAGAGTGGTGTTTAGTGACCTAATCTGTGCCTGCAAATACAGTAACAAATTCTGTTTTCATATTGACTGAATTTTAGTGCGCGCCACAATTATCGTGCGAAAATATGTCCAATAAGCCTTTTTTTTCTACACTCCTCCAAGGTTTCTTGTGATGATTTTCTCCCCTTGGCTTCCTTGCACTAAGGTACTGTTTTGCGTGGACTAACAACCTCCGGTCACTTGACTGAGGACCATTCCTCATCCAGGGTCACTGAGCTATTTGACAATCAAAGTCATCACCTCTAGGCATCCTCAAACATACATTTCTTAATGCGTTTGCTGGATATTGATCAGGAATGGTAACAATGACCGTTTTTTTAATAAAATCTATTTGCTATTCCAAATAGGCTGAAGCCAATAACTGCACCCTTTACTGCTCTTTCCAGTTGAGATCAGATAAATAACAACAGATCAGGACTCAAATCTCGGACTCTTCTGGTCTGTGTTGCTCAGTGTCACACCAGGCTACACACTTACCAATTGAGCTATTGGGGGCTTAAGTTAAGAATTCCCCCCACCCTCCCCCACCAAGAGTTATGCATTAGAAAAAGACTTTGAAGGAATCGTTCTTCCCTGAGGAACCACCATATTCGTGCAGCAAAGGAGACAAAGAAAATATTAAGAACAGCTGCAGAGGCAAAAGTCAAATACCTTAGATATCAGATGCTGATGGAAATTATGGAAATTCGGGCAAAGAGTCATTGCCTACATAATAAGTAAACCTTCAGCACAATTTCAAAGCTGACAACTTCTGAACTCCTTTTTGAAAAGGTTGCTGAACACTCTCCTATTCTATTTATTCCTAGAAAATCTAAAGTGGGTTGGTTGTTTTCATTATTTCTTTTCATGTTTGTTATTAATTTTAGGTGCTGTCTGCCTTGTGTCTCGGGTGATGTAAAGGGACTGCCCGGCCAGTGCTATTTCGAACAGGGTTCACTCCTTTAAGTTACGTCATGGCTGTTTGTAGGACATTGCTGTGCAAATACTGGCTGCCATGTTCGTCTGCAAATACACAGTCATCCTGTTCACAGTAAAATTCTGTGAAATGCATTGAGGCAGCTGGATGATGTGGTCAAGCATTGGATGAAATGCAAGGATTATTTTATTTTAGCTATGCAAGGGCTGCATAACTTAATTGATTATTATAATATCTCAGAGCACTTAATAATAATACTAATAATCCTTGCATTCGCTCTAGCGCCTTATCACATCACTGAGACATCTTAAAGCGCTCCGCAGAACATATTGTAAAATGCATTGACTTTATAGTTGGAGGTCAAAATGTGGCACCCAATTGTGCACAGCAGGGTTCCACAAACAGACTTGGATTCAGTATCCAGATTTTTGTTCGAGGGTTTATTACCCCCGGAAAGTGATCCAGCAATCGACTGACAACCAAGGTCCTACTTACTGTCAGATAAACAGAGTTGTGTGGAGTAAGGAAACTTGCCGAAGGTTTTGCCTTAAGAATCATCAGTCTGTCTGTATCAGAATTTCATGCATCAGGTACTGGGATTTTAAAAACACACTTCAAATTTCAGCACTTCCTTTTCAAAGTGACAGAGGATGTCCACATCGCTACCCATCGATCAGGAAGATATACTCTTTCTCTCTCTCTCTCCGAGTCTTTGACATCAGCTTAGATGTGGACTTTCGGGTTTTAATGTTTGCCACTTGTTCTTTCCAACATGATTCATAGTTAACTCTCATCTTAAAAAAGATTGCACCAATTTTCTCCTCCGCTCTCCTCCTCTGACTCAAGTCGATTATTATCCCTATCGTGATGGAGTAGAACATTTGTCTCTTAAAGGCTCTTTTATAGGAGAGGATCCAGAATTATGCTTTGATTACAATCCTCCTCCTGATACTTTGCTGTAAATGAAGGCTACAGCCAGTCAATGGTGAATCTCATCAGTTTTTGAAACCTCCACAAAGCTGTCAGTCCAAAACCAAACTCCCATTTAGTTTAAAGGTGTCAACCACAGGGAAAGGTTCACAGTGGACAATTGCGCTAGAGTGTTTCAGTACTCCGTGATGACAAGCTACAGTCTTCACTTGTCTGCTCTGTGCTTTCTCTGAAGTGTGTTTCATCATTTGATCTGCTGTCTTTTCCATGTTATCATTGTTTTCTGAAGCCCAGGTTTCTGCAGGAAACATTTTGCCCACAAAATATAGAGTCAAATCACTTTACAGTATATTCTGTGAAGCGCTTTGAGAAGTCTTGAAGACGTGATAAAGGGCTAAATCAAATGCAAGGATTATAGGTTTGTTCCGTGACTCACAGAATTGGTCCTCCAAAGTCACATTGGGCTACAGACATAAATAATTCATCCAGGAAAAAAAAATTTAGACCTTTCATCAGTCAATCAAAATCTCAGCAAACAGAATGCCATCAATTTGTGTTTTTCCCATTGAGTACTAATTTGGATTTAAAAGATTTACCAATTTTAAGGTCAATGATTCAACTTTTCTGGTGAATTTTCTTTCAACATTCCCATATTTCCATGTATTATTACTGCGTTAACCCCTTTTGATGTGAAAAAAAAGATGCGACATGGATGGGACTTGAATCGAATCGATTCAAATTCTCGGTTACTTGAAATGCAGAGTGTCTATTGTGGGGTTTATATTTCGGTCAGCCTTTGCACATTGCTGTTGACGGTCCAAAGTTAAGCTTCACAGTTTGGGGATTTTAACATCCATTGCATAAGTCCACAACACAGCAAGCAGTGTGTAAAAAAAAGTCATTTAGAAAGGAAAGTGACAGAAAGGCAAGAAAAAAAGATTCCTCTCCTACCACTCCGAACGCACCATTAGTCAAAGTGTCTGTAGATGGTCTCAAGCAACAGGTCATATAATTTGTCTTTGCTAAAATTTTATGCTCCATCCACAGTGGTTTGGGCTCTGCATCATTAAGCACCATCATGTTACCGGTTAGTAAAATGAGACATGATGCCAGCTTTTATTCACTTAACGTGGGGCCTGCCCCCGGGACCAATGAATGCGAACCAGGAATCAAGGAAAACCATGAGGGAGAAGTCAATGGAATCTAATTTGCTTTCGAAACCGTTGAAGAGAAATTCTGCGTC